TTAATTTTAGGTTCTTAGTTGTACAATTAGGTTATGTAAATACTAGTAATAAATATATTAGAGCATAGATAATACAGTTGCAATATCTATGTATCAGATTAGTATCTGGTACCTGGATATCAAGCGATACTCAAACCATCTAATAGACTTGCTATATTGATTACGCACAATATCAATGCTCTACTGACACTAACACGTAGACTAATTAGACGTAATGATATGCGGTTTTGATGTCGCTTAATATCAATAACAGTTCGTTAGTGAAATCCGCACCAAAATCTGTTAAGGAGTATCTGAGGTCAACACATAAACGCAGAGATAAAAGTAAAAAAAATAAATAATCCGATAATTTACATTTTAATGGTAAGTCTAGATATCGTACGATATTTACAGATATTAAAATAATTACTTCCATATCTGCCACTCAAAACGAAAGGAATTTAATTTTGAATAGGATTAAAAATATATAAGTAATTGAAAAATCATAACAATTACGCCAAACTTTTTTAATTGATACATAAATATTTTATATGGTGCATTTTATATGCACCATATAAATTAATTTTCTTCTACCTACCTACATACGTATTACAACCGCCCTCATCATCACATCTCTGTGAACACATATATTTTCTTATAAAACTACCTCAATTCACCCATATAAATAATAATTGTCATTATAAACAAACCGCGAGTGCAATTGAGTTCTATATTTAGTGTAAATATAGAACAATAAGTCCTTGTAACTGTCTGTGGTCACGTCTCGCGGACGACGTAGAAAGGGCACGTCTGTAAACCATCCTTAATGCCCTGTGTGCCGAAAGCTGAAGATGAAAAGTACTTCTGAAGTAGAGCCGAACGTAGCTCGAAGAACTGAGTCCATCTACCACCTTCGTACGTGTGTTTTCCTCCCTATTTCGCTCCCTTTTTTGTCGTATATACTTAACAATTATACAAACCTTTTAAAGTATTAATATCGAAGAATATCTTGATGCGATCAAGGTATATATTATTTATATAAAAGTAATATGTTATTTGTGGATCTCTATTTATTTGACAAGCGGAGGTAAAGGATATCTGTATTCAGGTAACCCGAAGTAGTTACGTGTTAATGAATTCGCAATTATAGTGTACTTTAATAAAGTCAGGTAAATTAGTTTTCATTTAGGAGAGTTATGCTTTCAGCGGTCAATGGTGTTCTGTTAGCGTTAGATCTACATTAGCATAGGTATGATTACCATTTCAACAACATCATACAAAGTTATTTAGCAAAGCTCCCCGTGCTCCCCGCCCGCAGCTCGCGAGCGCCGATACCGCTGCATGTGGAAGCAGCGCTAACAAAATCCTCGGTGCAACCACAGCGTCGAGATTTTGCCGCCGTCGTCGCTAGCAAACCGACTGCTTCAGTACAGCGGCGTGTGCCAAAAACGGCACTGAACATTGACCCTACGTGTGTTGCCACTGGCAACCGCGACGATGATGGCTTCGTCGTGGTACAAAAGAAGAGGCGCACAAACAGGGTCAATAGGAATCATTGTGGCACTGCACTCACTGGGCCCAACTTTCTGCTGCGTGCTGCTACACCGACCACGACAATGTACCTGTCCCGTCTACATTACGCCACTAAGGAGCAGGACATTGTCGATTATATTCGTACCAAGAGTAACCTGACATTGAGGGTAACGCAGCTGAAGTCGAGTCACAACGCGAGTTTCAAAGCGTTTGTGGCCCTGGTCCCCACCGACTTGCTGCCCACCTTCATGAAAGAGGACTACTGGCCGAAAGGTGTGGTGTATCGGCGCTACCGTGGCAGATTGCCGTCTTCAGTGCCGTGATCACACAGACAATATTATTGTATTAGTTTTTAAATATTATATTATATGTATGTTAGTCTATAAGGTATTTATAATATGGGCCTAGTTGCCTGAAATAAATGAATAAATAAAAATAAAATAAAGCTCAGCAAGTAAAATTGAAATGATTAACAAATAATACATAAGTCTACGATCACCAAATATGAATACAATAATTCAGTTTCTAAATGAATTTTAAAATATACAACTATCGACACGGTGACAGATAATATTATTAATTTCTACTATTGCTATTTATATAATAATAGGGAAAATCTGTTCTCAAATAACATATATCTATGTTATCAATATTATATAGCTGAAGAGTTTGTTTGTTTGTTTAAACGCGCTAATCTCAGGACCTATTGGTTCAAATTGAAAAATTATTTGTGTTGGATCGTACATTTGTCGAGGAAGGCTTTAAGCTATATAACGTTACGCTTCGACCAATGTAGACGAAGCATCAGTGAAAAATGTTGCAAAAACAGGGAACATTATTCATATAACTATAAATGCCAAGTAAGTGTGATGCAGACGAAGTTGCGTGGGTAAACTAGTGTCATATAAAAATAACTTGGATTATGATACATTCAAGTAGCCAACGTTTATTTTAGTTAAAATTTATTTTGTACAATATTTAGATCTTCCGAAAGTTTCTAATGAGTGAAAGCTTTATAAATAGTTCAATAATAGCAAATAATCCGTTCATAACAGAACTTTATATAGGTGGAAGCTACTAAGATTTACATCTGATTTCAAGACAAGATATAATATAAAAGTGGAGCAAACAAGCTTACAACAAAACTGAAGCAAGATCGAATTTGCTGGAAGTTTATAGCGTGAGTTGCGATTCGCAGGCGAGAAGTTAATTCCGGACAAGGGTTATAACATACTTTGTTTCCTCTTTGGGCTTTTATAACAAGCTTTTCTTTAAGGGGTGGATTTTATATATTCTAAAATAATGTTTACAAATTAATTATAAAATGGATAAATTATAAGCAGTTGTGCCTATCCATATATGTATATATATATATATATATATCATCAATTATTTTTGATTAAAATGTTTAGAACCAAATTTATGAAGTATATTCTAAATAGATTAACTGCATCATTTACAAATAAACAGATTTATGCAACAAGAAGAATAAGTCTAGCTAATTAATAGCATTGTTAAACAGTTTGTGTTTAATAAAAATAATAAGGTAAATAATAAAATAATTGCCTGAAGATAATCACATTATTTTTTGGTTTAGGCAGAAATACTTGAATCTTTCTACATACCCGTAACTCTTGCATAATTGTGACAATGAGATTGTTCATTACGAAATTTAACATTCTTTTTTTTTTTAGCATAGTAGACAAACGAGCTTGCAGCTAACCAGACGGTACATATATTATAACTATATTAACAGTGCTCAGGAGCACCCGCAATACCAAAGGAATTACAAGTGCGTTGCGACCTTTGAAGAAGGAATAAGCTCTTTTCATAAAAGTTTCAATATCGTGTCGGTTCGGATATACCATTCCTTGTGATTTGACAATATGGTCATGCATGGCAAAAAAATTCTTAAAAAACGCAAGACTGCATTCTACATCACAATGATCGCTAATTCATGTGATGCAGAATGGTATTTTTAAGTAACTAAGTGATAATGAGGAGATGGATTTGCGCCTTTTTCATCCAATTTATACATATATCTTGAACACGTAGACGAAGTCCCGCCTAAAAACTAGTCAATTCATATATGGCATTTGCGGCGCTTCTGGAGGGTCGGAGACAAACTTACTAACTTTTAGGGTCACAATAAAAATGTACCGTAGCAGGCCAAATGCCATAATTTATTATAGTTACGATAAACTCAGCATTGAAAACTCCAAGCTCACCTGTGGCTTAGAACGAATAATGGTAATCGATATAGATAAGTTGGTTAAACTTAAGTTTATGTTTAAATAAATTTAGAATATAGCAACTTCTAATGCAAATATTTTTTATTACTTAATACAAATAATCGTCATAGACACATATTCTATTTTAATACCTTGTAATTTAAAAGTATGCTGAAACAAAGTAGGTATATATTTATATTAATTTTCATAAAAAACCAACTAGAACCCACAGCAGTCTAACGATTTCATTAATGACAAAAAAACATCAAATATATTCGAAATTAAAAGTACTTCCTCGAAAAACAAATTGTTAAAAAAAGAGATTAACACGTGAAATATTGCTTATTAAAAAAGTTAACGAAAATGGTCAAATGACGTGATTTGTTGTTATTCACTGAAATTAATCATATAAGGTTTCACAGGAAATAAGTCAACATAAACAGTCTTTATCTATTCTTTATATATTTATTATCTAATCCCAATGTATAGTTATGCATGCATAAAAGGAAGTCAACAAAAAATGCTTTTAAATTGAAAAATATACATAATTTTTATTCAATAAACTTAATATATATTTATTTGCTTTTGTCTTAACTGTATATATGACAAATTAATTTTATTACTTGAGGAATAAAATAAACGACTCATAGTTATGAGAGCAGCAGAGTCCTAACAAGTCGCTTCAGTTCACGAGTAGGTATAGCGGATGAGCCATCAGTGCTCTCAACCATACCATATTTCAGGGAGCCCAAATACCCACCACACCACTACAAATTTATATGAGCATGATTAAAATATGCCACTCGACCACGTCACAACTTTTTTTAGAGTCCTTTATTCATTAATGATTTTTATCATTTAAAAGTTGACAAAATTAATACATACATATGGAACCTTTAGAGATGTAAAATCATTTAACTAAAAAAAATAGTTAAAGCCAATTCAGAATTAAAAACGATACGAGTATTCAGTAGGAGTACGAGTAAAATATTTTAATGTACACAAAAAGTTTTTAGTGAAATTGAAAATATCTTTCCTTTGAAAATGATTACGATTAATGAAACTGCAAATATTGTTTTTACGAAAGTTATATGGCCATATACTATAGATTCCATCAAATATTACATGTAATATACTTGCTAAAATTAGTAATACATCTGATAAATGATAAATTACGATAAAATACACGATAAACATGTAATGACCAATATGAGTAATAAACTTATACATTGTACATTATACGTTTCATAACAACGAACAAGTTTTACGTGGAGGATTGAAAGTGTGTGAAGTTATACATAACAGTGCTAATAATGGAAAAAATTATATATTTATTGTCTTTGGCTTTCGTTTGTAAGTTAAAAGTTGAATGTTTTTTGAAAACATTAATTTATAGTTTAGGAAAAGACTACCAAACATTGTAATTTACTTCCAAAAATCCATGTGTGTGTACAAAAATCAAAATTGCAATCATATTTTGAAATTCTTACTCCATCCACCTTCTGAATCTACATGAAATGAGTGAATATTTATTTTTCGACTATCTGTTCTTTTACACGCTACAACAAAATATTAATTAAAAAGTAAACTGCTTGATGGCTGAAATATGTGAGACAAAGTATCAACGCGTCTCGTTTAGTTTATCAATTTCAATATTTTGAAAATAAAAATAGATACTAATCAAACCCCTGATCCCTTATACGGTTCTCTCACAATGTTCATCACCATTTTAATGTAAATCATTATATTTATAATACAATAAACATAGTTACTTTATATTAATGCTGTACACTTTTTATATATCACTCTAAAACCTATTGTGCTCGATTGAGCAAATATTTAATACGTTCTACATAATATTTTCATTATTACAGGCTCATATGCAGGTACTATAGATCAGACTGACAATTCTTTATCAGGAAGAATTCTAAATGGCCAACATGCTACACACCAGCAATTCAATTATACGGTAACTATTTTTACGAAAATGTATTATTTTACGCTATAATCGTACGATTTATACTGAAAATTGATATAAAAATATATATTGTGTATATAAAATTTACCAATGATCAGAATATGTAATAGAAAGACAATGAGAAATTATAAACAATCGTATAAATACATTGTACACTTGCCTTGGCTTGGTACATATTGACGTTTAATCTATACGAAAATGTAAGCTACGCATTCAATTAATAATTTGATGAATATGTTTGTAAACCACAAATCTGGCAACTTTTAAATAAGGACTTTTACAACTGATAATATGCCTAAAACATAGTGTTTGTTATAAATTAATGATTATGCATATAAACTGAAAAAAGCCGAATGACAAACAAGCTGGCAACCTATAATGCTATATGGTAACACTCGCCTATATACTCGACCATGAACAACATGTTGTCTGTAACATCACATTATCACACATGATAACGTGATTTCCGTAATGCTACGCTTGTAATACCGCTCATATGTTGCCTTTCCGGAGGACTGAGATATCATACATCCTATCTTGTAATTTCAATTACCTTTATGCCTTTGAACACAACCTTCTACCGAAACACGGCTTACTATAGAAGCTGTTTGGTGACTGAAAAGACTGAGATAACCACGACTATGAGGACAAACGCTACCTCAGTTAAACCAAAAATATTTAAAAATTTGGTATCCTCACAGGTTTCCATTCAACGCCTTAGTGAAATTTCCACTCATGGATTTGGACATAAGTGTGGTGGTGCATTAATCACATACCAACATGTCTTGACAGCTGCCACCTGTACATACAGCATTAGTTTTAACGGGTAAATTCATCCTTATTCACACAAATATCATAGATACGAAATTGTGTCTGTCCATATGTTACCCTTTCACAACCATTCTGAAATGGCCAGTACATAACTGGCTGAAAAGATCTCAATGAAATTTGTCATGAAGATAGATCATATCGACAAGAACGGGCATCAGTTTTCTCGAAAAAATATCTAGAAGGTGGTGAAATAGGCCGACATCGCAGACGGTCGCGAGTAAATGTATTTATTTATTTATTCATTTGCATTCCATAGTGTTACAATTATGGTTGACATAATATTATTATAAGAGCACCATGGACCCTGATGGGCGCAGCAGATGTATTAAACTTTAAAGTCGTAATGAAATATATTTTCATTAATGCAGTTTATTATTAAACTTATAAAATTTTTAAACTATGACTTGAAACCAATTTACACATATTAGAAGATTTATATTTTATTCTTTATATTTCAGCGACATCTTAACAATTAACCCAAGCGAATTTAGAGTATTTGCAGGCTCAGTTTTTCTATCAAATGCTACCAGTGACAGAATAAGACTTATAACCAATTACTTTGTACATCCCGAACATATAATCGCACCGTCTCATGTCAACGATATCGCTATTCTTAATGTAAGTATATTTTTATTTGTATCGTTTATTATTGAATTCAAATAAGAAGTTATATATTTATATAACATGCGTCATATACAGAAATGCCAAGAGTGATTTATTGAAAGCTTCTTGGTATTTGTCGTATATTTGTTGTATTCAACTTCGAACGAATATTACAACTATACTATTGTATTGTACAGATAATATATTTTTATATATAGTTATTATATGGTTTGCCATCAGTAGAGTATGTATATACTTACATCAAAATAATTTGTTATTAGGTCCCATTTACTGATAATAATAGTAATAATACATAAGTTTATAAATTTTGTTTTATTTAAGACAATATATAGGCAATTTATATATTTTTTTTAAAGTTGGTCAATGTTCAGATCTTTTACTGTAAAGGATTTTAAGCAATGAGTGAAACAATGTGTTGATATTTCCTACATTTCCGTTATTGTAAACATAAAATAAAACATATAACCGCGCGCTTGAGAAGAAGCAAGGTGCTGGATAAAGCAACGTACCGCATCTAGAACTTTCAAGCGTGCAATAGCGGTTACCAATGTATCAGTAAATTTGATAAAAAAATTTTTTAATGGCAAAAAATCTAGGGCCTACTTGATCATAAGTGGTTACTGCGCCTACGAATATATATTCCTACAGTACGACAGACATCAGACTATTTATATGACGCCTTAATATGACTTATACGTTGCTCTTCCTGTCTACTAAGATGTAATGCCTGAAGTGCATTTGTCTACAGAGTCTAGTCTCAATACATACAGATACTAAATAGATAAAATTCATGTAGGCCTTTTACAGACTCTTATGTCAAATCTACCGTCAGTTCGGATTGCTAACGAGCTAAGATGTACTTGACAAGAAACTCTGCTCTTATTCTTTACAAATGAGGCTGTACATGATTATAAAAATTTACATTTTAAACAATTTGCAACGCATGTTGTAATTCTTTGATTAAAATAACAATTTAAAAAAATGTATTTGTAAAGCAACAGCATTACAGAACCCTACAAACGTGTACATAACATTATAAATTACATTTTAATACTACAAATATTTAATCTAAAAATTTTTAAAGGTTAAAACCAAGACTTTGAACTGTTAACATGATGAATGAAATAGTCAATCACTGTCGAGACATACAATATCCTTGGTAGATCAAGATCACCACTGTTGTCGAATATTCTTATTTAACCTCACCATTGCTTTTAAACTACAATATGATGTTGAATAACTTACCATTCAAATGTCAGTGCGAAAGACCTTGAAGAGCTACCTTATTTACAAAATATCTACTATATTTTAATTATTTAAAAAATAATTGCCATTTAAAGCCGTTTTAACTCCTTTTTTATCATAATATCAAAAATGGAAGTAAATAACTTTATGTTATGTTTTAGTTGACATTGCCCTTCGCGTTATCAGTTGTAACACCACTACCATTACCATCTGGAAATTTCTCTCCGTCTGATTTTACTCGGTGCACAGTTGCTGGCTGGGGTGCATGGACTACTGGATCTACGGTATGTATTTCAAAACCGTCTATAGTCAGTCACAGGGATATAGAACTGTGATTAGAATAAACTAGACTAGACTTTGTGTAAGGTTTACATCTTGTATACTTTATTTGATGATCAACTACATATATCTAACTTTGAATAGAAATCAAATTATTTGATATTATTTCTTGGAAGTACATTTTGACACAGCTATTTCCAAATATTTATTATTATTTTATTCTGAAATTCATTTCGAAATTTAAATACAGAGAACAATATAAATATTTTAAATTTTTCTCTGAAAATATTGGGATGTATCATCACTTAACATTGTACTGAGTCATCGCCAGTATATGAGGTACAGTGTAATCATATTAATTTTTATAATGTTTTTTCAGACGCCTTCCGAACAGCTACGATTTTCCAATACATATATTTACAATCAAGATGAATGCAGAGGATTAGTTCATAATGCGCAAAATTTAGGAAACCTTTTGCCTACCATGATATGCGCGGCACATTTTAATGTCCTTGCTAAAACATGTTTGGTAAGTATATCATTTACATCTATTATTTTTTTTACTATATTAAAATAGAATATCAAATCTATAATATTGTTCACACAAAATACGATGACAGTGTGAAATTTTGCACACAATAACTGATAACACAAAAGTAGATATTGCTTAGTTTGACTTTATTGATAATAATAATTGTTAAATATAATAATATATTTTCTTATGAACACTGTCAAATCAATGAAATTAATAATGTAGTCTTAATGATTTATCATAAGTATTTCTGATGTAGTGTGATTTCGACGATACTTTTACTTTATGCATACTTATGCAGATGCAGACTTCCGCAGGCTATTGTTTATAATCCTGACATAAGGCTATATCGATAAACGAATGGTTTACACAATTATAATAAAAACAATATAGTTTATACTACAATATCAGTGAAGTTTATATGCTTCTGAAATATGCCGTTTTAAAAAAGGCGTTATTTTCTTTATAATATCACTAAATTTTTTAATCTTATATCTCCGGATAATGTAACTTCAACTAAATATCAATAAAGATATAGTAATTTAGAGAGTCGAGCGCACTTCACTCTCATCCTCTAAATTGTCATGGAAGGCACATTTGCGCTACTTCTAGGTCTAACTATTATGTTTCATTTGTCATATAGTAAATAATTTTGAACAGAACATTTACTGTTATAAAACATTAAACGTACTTTCTATATCTAATATTTCAGGGTGATAAAGGTAATCCATTGGTATGTGGTGGAACCTTAACTGGCATATCATTCTTACCAACTGATTGTCTGACCTCTACTAATATAACACCAGTGTTGCCAGAAGTTTACACCAGGGTTTCTAATTATACTACATGGATAAGAAGTATTACAAGCTCTGCGCCTACTGTCAGACTAGGATTATACGCTTTATTATTGCTCTCACTATTTCATGGACTTTTTCTGAAAATAGTGAACTAAGTGAACATTTGTGATTAAATTTTGATAAATGCTCCTGTCACCACACGAGCTGCAGGTATTATTTTTAATATAATTATCCAAGTGGATTTTTCAGTTGCAACGTAACTTAAACATTATTTATACAACAATCTAATCTGCGGTAAGTGGATAAGAAGTTTTTATCAAACGGTACGGTACAAATTTTAATTATAAGTATTCTTAATTGGTCGCTGCATAGAAGCATTATAGATAAAAGAATTGTAAAGCTAGTATGTATCTAATTGAAATTATAGTTTAAGTGAGTAATAAGAATTTTTTTTCTCATCTCATTTCAGGTTTGAATCCCACAAGGTTAATTTGATAATAATTTTAAATATTACGCTGCATTAAGATGTGATTAACTGGCATACTACGCTAAGGTACAAAATCAAACATAATCAATTTTTACTCACGTTGTTATGGTTAATGGTTTTATAAAGTTTGAGTGTCCTACTTTGTCTGCAGCTTTTAAGTTATTCCACACGTCAGATGGATTTTACCTGTATATATATAGTTAAAGTCCATCTGACATATGTATATTATGATATTATACATATATATAATAATTCGACGACCTCGGTGGTCTAGCGGTCTAGCACACCGCTTTACGTCCGATGGTCGCGGGTTCGATTCCTCGCACGGCACAAACATTTGTATTCACGAGTATGATTGTTTGTATCGGTCTGGGTGTTTTCTATGTATAATATGTATGTATTTACGAAAAAAAAAATCTATGTATTTTGTATCAGTTATCTAGTACCTACCCATAACACTAGCTTTAGCTAGCTTAACTTGGGTCTAGGTGGCGCTGTGTGAATTGTCCTGAGATTATTATTATTATTATTATTAAAATTGTAAAAAATGTTATTTTTGTGTATGTAACGTATTTATATTCATATGCATGTAATAAAAATTGGTTATATCAATATTACAAATAGACACTCTAATTTTATTTATATATATACCATATACACATCATGTTGATATCTGTATACTACGTCAACCATTCCAAAGATTTAAATAATAAACTTTTATATGATACCTATGATATGATTAATGTTTTTTATTTTTATTTTTCAATTTAAAGTGTATCACTCGGAAGAATGAAATGCTTCTAACGATACCTCTGATAAATTACAGTATGAAAAATATGAACATTATGTTCTCATACCGATCAAAATGAAAACGTTGCTTCACCGTAGTTGGGTAAAAATAGAAAACTAAATGAACGTTAAGCTGTAGTTATACATGATGTATTTAGACTGTCAATTTCAAAAAATATCTTCACATTCCAACTTTCGTCTTGAAAATGATATGACAAAAATCTATAAATACAATATCTCTCTTTCGGCTTGATATAGAAATATACGTTTAATAATTAATATTTCTTAAATAAACTAATTTAGCGTGTGGTGTCGCTGTAAGAATAGCACCACCCCCTCTCTTCCCGTGGGTGTCGTAAAAGGCGACTAAGGGATTCATCGACCAGTGGACGGGCAGCAGCGTCCTATTGAGTACCTACCATCATACTGCGATCGCCAACCCGCATGCCAAGCGTGGCGATTATGGCAATATCCCCCCAAATGAATTTACACCCAAGGCCCCGGCCCCCAGTCCCCGGCGGCCCCGCTAGTCTTGATCATGGTAGCGGTCATGGAAACGGCGGGGCAGGGGGTGCGAAGAATCTCCGGGTAAGACCAGGCTACCACAAACGACGACCACTGGCCCTGGCAACATACAACGTTCAAACACTGCGGACCGACGAAAAGTTAATTGAACTGGAGGAAGAGTTGAGCAGATTGCACTGGCATGTCGTGGGATTATCTGAAGTCCGAAGAAAGGGGGAGGACTCGATAGTCCTGAAATCGGGCAATCTGCTTTACTTCCGGGAGGGCGATCAACTGTCCCAAGGCGGTGTCGGGTTCCTCGTCCACAAGTCCCTTGTGAATAATGTTATCAAGGTCGAGAGCGTGTCGACTAGGGTAGCGTACCTGATACTCAGAATTACCAAACGGTATTCATTGAAGGTCATCCAAGTGTACGCTCCAACTTCGACGCACTCCGACGATGAGGTTGAGGCTATGTATGAGGATATCTCCAGAGCCATACATAGTACAAAGACTCATTATAACGTTATCATGGGGGACTTTAACGCAAAATTGGGCAAACGAAGCGGTGATGAGCTGAGAGTGGGGCAATTTGGTATCGGTGATCGGAACTTCCGAGGTCAAATGCTGGCCGACTTCATGGAGAAGGAGAACCTCTTTATGATGAACTCCTTCTTCAGGAAGCCGGAACACCGGAAATGGACGTGGATTAGTCCCGATGGTGCCACAAAAAACGAGATAGATTTCATCTTGTCAACGAGAAGACAGATTTTCAATGATGTCTCTGTGATCAATGCCGTCAAAATTAGAAGTGATCACCGGATTGTAAGAGGCATATTTAATCTGAATCTGAAACTCAAACGATCCCGACTGATAAAGTCTACGCTCCGCCCTACACCTATACAGATCCAAAACCCCGAAAGTTTTCAGCTAGATTTGCAAAACCGTTTCGAATGCCTTGGTGACTGCGTTGACGTGGACGATTACAACAACAGGTTCGTTGAAACTGTCCGTGCGGCTGGGTCTAAGCACTTCAAAACCCGCCGCGCAGAAAGAACCGGAAAAATATCTATCTCTACCCTCAAATTGATGGATGAAAGGCGAAGTATGGTCCTGCAGTCTCCGACTGACGCTTCTCAGTATCGGCAACTTAGCAGGCAGATCTCTAAGTCCTTGACTCGTGACTTACGCCACTTTAACACAAATTGTGTAAAGGAGGCTATTGAGAGAAACAAGGGCTCAAAAGTCTTTAACAGGGATCTGGCTGCCGGACAGAGCCAGCTGACGCGACTTAAGACGGATGACGGCAGGATCGTTTCGTCTAAACCCGAACTTTTGAGGGAAATTGAGAAGTTCTATGGACAGTTATACACGACAACACGGGCACCTGTTAACAACATGGCGAAAGACCCTAGAGCCAAATTAACCCGACACTATACCGAAGATATCCTGGACGTCAGCCTGTACGAGATTGGTATGGCTCTTAAACAACTTAAAAACAACAAGGCGCCGGGCGATGATGGAGTTACTGCTGAGCTTCTGAGGGCTGGAGGTAGACCTGTTCTACGAATCCTCCAGAAGCTATTCAACTCCGTCATCCTCGAGGGCAAAACGCCTCAAGCATGGCAAAGGGGTGTGGTGGTTCTGTTCTTCAAGAAGGGAGACAAATCGCTTCTGAAGAATTTCAGATCCGTAACACTGCTGAGCCATGTTTATAAGTTGTTTTCGAGAGTCATCACGAATCGTCTCGCGCGCAGGTTTGACGACTTCCAGCCTCCGGAACAAGCCGGGTTCCGAAAAGGCTTCAGTACTGGAGCGGGCTGGGCATCAACATTAACGGCGAGTACATCAATCACCTTCGATTTGCCGACGATATCGTGGTCATGGCTGAGACCCTGGAAGACCTTAGCAAAATGCTCGAAGACCTCAGTAGAGTCTCACAAGGAGTAGGTCTTAAAATGAACATGGACAAGACGAAAATTATGTCAAACGTCCATGTCGTACCTGCTCCCGTAAAAATCGGAGATTCTACACTCGAAATTGTCGATCACTACGTATACTTAGGGCAAACTATCCAGCTAGGTAGATCCAATTTCGAGAAAGAGGTCAATCGTCGAATCCAACTCGGATGGGCAGCGTTCGGGAAGCTCCGATATATCTTTTCGTCCAAATTTCCGCAGTGTCTCAAGACGAAGGTTTACGACCAATGTGTGTTGCCAGTGATGACTTACGGAACAGAGACGTGGTCGCTAACTATGGGCCCCATCAACAAGCTCAGAGTCACTCAGAGGGCAATGGAGAGGGCTATGCTCGGAGTTTCTCTGCGTGATCGAATCAGAAATGAGGAGATCCGCAGAAGAACCAGAGTGACCGACATAGCCCGAAGAATTGCGACTTTGAAGTGGCAATGGGCAGGGCACATAGCTCGTAGGACAGATGGCCGTTGGGGCAGTAAAGTCCTCGAGTGGCGACCACGGACCGGAAGACGCAGCGTGGGAAGGCCTCCAGCAAGGTGGACCGACGATCTGGTCAAGATCGCGGGAAGGCATTGGATGCGAGCAGCGCAGGACCGATCGTCGTGGAGATCTTTGGGGGAGGCCTATGTCCAGCAGTGGACGTCTTCCGGGCTGCGATGATGATGATGATGATGAAATAAACTAATTTTGATTATTATTACTATTGTCAGTCGTTACAGTTATTTATCGTTTATATACTTGAAAGAGGTTATAGTGAGAAAAATAAAAAAACGTAATTTTTAATAAAATTTTCTTCAAATTTTTTCATTTGACATGCGCTGTAATAAGGTTTGCAACACAAGAAGTATAAAGGTAACGAGGCCATTACTTCGAATCATTGCACGCGGTCTTACTAAGCTCTTTTTGAATGCCGGAAGCATTTTGTAGTAACCCCTTTATGCTACGACCTTATTATCATCATCAAATAGAGGTCTGTATTCCTAGTTGATCGGAAGGCGCATTTCATAATTTCTAGGTGAATTTATAAAAAATATTCATATGTATAACAATTTACTTACTGCACTTTTACTTACTTAGAATATACTCTATATATTTACTCACTTACTTAAAATATAATAATTTGTTGGGCTAATTAACTAAGTAGTATTATAACATTATTTAATTCCTTAAATTTTTAATATATTTTGCCATTCGTCTGAACGTTTAGTGGTGAAAACTTTCGCTTTTATAAAATTAGTATTATAGATACAAATATCGATAGTTCTAGAATATACAGACAAATAGTAATTTTTCGTTGTTTACATGTTTATTTATGTAACTTCCTAAACTGTAGACAAGTAAACTCAACACTAACCAGGATAAACAGTAAAATACAACAAAGTGCTGACAGGTTTATTTACTGCAAAGCGTAGTAACCTCGTAGCATGGAAGTCTTTTGCTAAACAAAGCGAATGTTGATTCGCTGTATATACTTTCGAAGACATATCCTAAAATCTCTGCAGAACTGTTCGCGTATGCCCACCAGGGAAATGAAGGTTATTTATTTCACATGAATAACTCTTCGGATCTTTATATTGGATGTTTTTCAACATCACGATTATCTTTTCCATTATTCTTCATTTAAGAAGAATCTAAACACCAAATCGGTATTTTGTAGGAGTACCTATTGTTGTTAAAAGATTTTATATGAGACTTGAACTTACTAGTGATATCATATTTGATAGTAAGTGTAACCAAATCCTATACGCAAAAA